AAAAAGTATTTATAGACTCATCCAAACACCCTCTAAAACAAAAATAGGTGTAAAAGATTCGCCCCTCATACACAAGACTTGAACATTTGACTGTATTATTACTTTCATATCATTATGTTAGTAAACTAAAATAAAATTAATGCTTTTCTTTAATTTCTTTAACTCTCAAAATAGAATTATATATGAGGGGATTCAAACGATACAATATCTACGTCTTTTAATCAGAAATTTTGGGATTGTCAAAAGAAGACTTTTTTGTTAGTTGTTTATTTAGTATGATCATGTGATCAAAATTATGATACGTGTGCCTTTTTAATCCAAAAGCAAAAATAAAACATACGTGAATGTACCAAAAAAAATTGTGAGAGGTGAATTAATTTAGTTAGAAGTGAATATTTATGTAAGCTAAAGATATAAAAGAATGGAAGAATGGTCAAGGTATTTTTTAAGTTAAATAATTAAAAAAAAAGGGATAAGAATCAAATAATCATATTAAAACTTAGCATAACAATAAGAAAAACTAAATACATGCATTTTATGGATTTACCCACAGAAGAAATAATCTGAATCACTTTTTTTTTTTGGCCGCATTCTGAATCACTCGTTCCCAGACATGAAATAAATGGCTTAACATAGGAACTTAGGCCCAACTCAAGCAACTTAGCCCAATGAAATTATTGGGCATAAAATGATAGGCCCATATTTATAAGCGGACATTGAAGAGGAATCCAGCTCATTACAGATTCCTGCTCCCTTGTGTCTCTCAATCGCCCATTTTTGTTCAAAAGGGCAAAAAAAAAAAAAAAAAATCAATGCAGGAGACGATTTGGGAATAGTGTACTGATGATATTATTTTAGTTGTATCCGATATTAAGTCAAATATACTGCTCCTCCTATCCTTAATATAAAACATATTTAACTAATGTGATTAGGAAAGTGTTTAGATAGAAACCAAACCATGGTTTCAGAAGTGCTTTTATGGTTTACGAAGTAAATATGTGGAGGAATTTGTCTCGTTTTGCGGAAAAGTAATTATGAAACTATGGTTTGGAGGTTGCCAAACACCTTATAGATTAAGGAAGTTAGGTAAGTTAGTTAATTATAAGAAATGTGACACGTTTTCCTAAAACACCATAATCATTTTTCTTAATACCCCACCCCCATTCCTCTTCTATTTGATTATGATTGAGGGAGTATCCATAAGAGTAATTTAGAGAAAATTAATAAATATGAGAAATGGGTCTTATGTTTAGGATAAAAACTAACTTAACAATTGGTTCTATATTAAGGACCGGAGGACTATAACTAATATTACCTTGATCTTTAATATAAGACCTTGTCTGACTTTTATTTTGATCCTAATTATAAAACTCCAATCCACTTTGTCTCTCATATTTATTTATTTATTTTCAAGATAGTCCACTTAATAATAATAGTTCTAACTAATAAACTTGATTAGTAAGGATATTTGAAAAAAGACAACACCTATTTATTACAAATAATTAGCTTAACTTATTTCCTTAATCTACTCAAATTAGTCAACTAGCTTTTATATTTAGGATCGGAAGTAGTACTATTTTTTTTTAATATAGAAGTTAGTTGACTAATTTGAGTAGATTAAAAAAATTAATTAAATTAGTTAGTGATTCTAAAATATCATTATTAATAAAATTTACTAACTAAAACTATCATTTCATGAAACATTTAATATGTGTAGTTACTATAAGAACTATTATAAAAACAATAATATATATAAAAAAATTTATATTTAAAATCAAATTAAAAATCAAAATAGTTTTAGTCTTTACTTACTACGGTACTAAATTAAGGTCAGGGTGCATCGGAATGAAGTATTTTATGATGCAATACATTAAAAGTGGATGAATTTCAGGCCTGCATTAGCGCTCCCAAACGTCCGTTTGATTTCAATGGATACTCATCATCTCTCCCACCGGACGGGACGGCTTCGACTATAGCAAGACCCTGATGATCCGATCTGCCAGTGCTTTGTTTGCTTTCTCTGCAAACTTCTTTGCTCTCAATCTCCCTCTCTTCATCTTTTTCACCCATTACTTTCTCTACTGCCTCTTTCACTTTCTCCCTCGTCTCTCCATCCTCATACTTGTTTAGTTTCTTCCCCAAAATTCATACCACTCTCAATTCCCAACGTTACATCTATTTTCAACGTACACCTGCACAATAACCGTCTCGTTATAAACAAATTTGACAAGGAAATAGAGAATATGTTACCAGTGGCGCGCATCCAGAGTGTGTTAAGATTGCTCCAATCACTGTGTGTGAGAGTATCACCATCTCCTCTTGCTTTCACTCTCTCCTCCAGTCCATCTTCCTTCAGTATCTTCTCCCTGTCCTCTCCATCAATTTTTATGGTGTTACACGGTTCAAGCTTCCAAGGCAGACACAGACGAAAGATCTTGCAGGCCATGGATCAAGCCTCTTCAAATATTATTATTCTTCGGTGGAGTCTGTTTTAATTTGCCTCTTTAAACCCTATCCATGTCGTCCTTGTTTTAAGAGTGAGACTGAACCCATACACCGCCGCCAAGGAATGTTGAACAATACAGGCCATGGTGGAGGGGTTGAAGCTAGCGCCGCCGAGGATTCTGCCGACTGGACCGTTAATGACGACGAGAATGGTGGCAATGACGGTGATGAGGGAGAGGCCTGCGAATGCAGAAGTAACGTAGAGGTTAGAATGCTGGCAGATTTGGGTCTTGCGACAGTCACTTCATCCATGAAGGTGAGAGATGATTTCCCGGGGAAGTAGACGGTAGGGATGAAATTGATCCGTCTTTAATAAAAGAGAAGTTGCAAATAAAGACTCCAAACATGTAAAATTGTGATTTGGGATCCTGAATTTGGAAAATAATAAATAAAGACTCGGTCTATTTTTACAAATATGAAATGTGGGTGAAATGTCTTAAATGTCTCTCAGTTAAATTATGATTTGGTCTATTGAAATTGTCATTCACTAAAGTGAATTTATCATTTCCCATAGTCAACTTATCATCTGGCATACCCTCTGTCAAGTTGTGATTTGATCTACTGAAGTTGTCATTCGCTAAAGTGAACTTGTCATTTCTCATAATCAACTTGTCATTTGACTGAGAGACATTTCAAACATTTCACCAACATTTCATATTTGCAAAAGTGAGAGTGGGTTCTTATTTGTTATTTTCTAAATTCAGGGTCATAAATTACAATTTTACATATTCAGGAGTTTTTATTTGCAATTTTTCCTTCAATAATAAATTAGGAGGCAAAATTAATGCACGTTAAACCAAATTTAAATCAATATTATGGACACTTGATTGCTTGTTGCTTACTTGAACATCTGGATGGATGGAGTTAACCGGTACAAAATGAAATTAAAATAAAATGAATAGAAATTAGAAATGACTTAAAAATTGTGTGCTTGAAACTAAGATGGAAGTAAGAGAAATTAAAGATGAGTTAAGAATTCAATGTTTCTATGAAGGAAAGAGACAAAACTTTCTGAGCAACGAAACCTGAATGAAAGAGATAAAACCTAATGACAAGGAGCTATTGAGAAGATAAAATGACAGCCTGTAAGTTGCAATGCGACATATATTTATAGAATAATGAAATCTTAAACACAAGTATTGAAGAAGACTGCACTACGTGGAGAATGTATTGTTGAATAAAATTTTATATTTTATACCACGCATGTATATAATCTTAAAAGTAAGTTATATTTAGGAATGTTTAGATGGAAAGTAAACCATAATTTTAAAAATAATTTTATTATATACGAAGTAAATGTGTAGAAGAGTTTATCTCGATTTACAGAAAAGTATTTTTTAAAAGGATTTTTATTTATAAAAATTTGTTATTAAATTTTTAACTTTTTTTATAAGAATTTATAAAAATTTGGCATAGGCGGGTTTAACCAAAAAAAAAAAAAAACTTGGCAGCCTTCACAATTCCGGATAGAATCCGGCCCGGATCATGTTCCGTTGTATTTCGAACCAATAATGTCGTCCGTATTACAAAGCATGAGGGGCCCTCTAACCTCAATGCAAACGAAAGAGTTCGTTTCGATCCATTGAAGCTCCCTAAAGTCCCTGTTTTTTTTAGGAGGCTTCAACTGTGGCAACGTAGAAGGAGGAGTGACATAGACGTAGTCTATAAAATCTATATAATTGACGATAGATCATTGGCTTAAACCCACAACAAAATGGCAAAGTTCCCTCCTTGCTCAGAGTCGCATTCATGGGTGAGTTGGAATCCTGATTGCCCAATCTCGTTCCGCAAAATATACGAATATGATGAATGTTTACGGCACTGCCGAAAGCCCACAACCCGATACGCACACATACATATATGTGCGTGTGTTGTTATTTCGCATTCATTTCGTTTTCGCCAGTGGATATTAAGTGTCATCGCGCATTCAATTCTGTTGGGTGGTCACTTTACCATCCCACCTCCCACCTAACAATACTCAGGAAACGTTTCCAAGCTCATTGCTTTGCTTTTTGTCCAAGAGCTTCACTACATTTTATAATCTCCCCTCCGAAACAATAATAAACTTTAGTTATGGCAGAATTGGAATGCAATGCTTTTCTTTTGCATAATCATGTAATGAGTTACTTGAATGCTGACAATTTGTATTGACAATTGCTGTTCCAGAATGTGTGTATTCGAAGTCTACATTTAAATTGTGTGCATTCCCATTTCTGGTTATATGGGCATTTGGTTTGATCTGGATTGTGGGATTTGAGCAGTGTGGGGACGTGGAGATATTTGGATAATCTGTGCATCTCAGTTCTTGTGTTTGGTGTTTTAGTTGTATATGTAGCGACCGTATAAGGTTTTAAGAAGTTGCTTGTGAGAATGGCTGATGCAGCGGGTCTAGCTGAGGCAGCAGGATCAAGATTTACTTCCTTGGAGCTTATTGGACAAGGTTCATTTGGTGATGTCTATAAAGCGTAAGCGTTTACTGTTGGACTAATATATTGTAAATGTAAGATGCGGCTTCATGTTCTCCCATTGAGTCCATAGTTCTTCTAAATGGCTTTTGTTTAATCAAATCAATGGGTTTTTCTTGATTGTTTAAGATGCTTCTTGGGGTGCAATTATGCGAGCTAGATCCTGTTAATATCAGATAGACTTTTTTCCAAATGTTTATTTGTTCCATAGCATATAATAACGCCCAACTTCTGTAATCTGTAACTCGATGCAATCGAGAATAAAGGGCCGTTACTGAATATTGTAAGAAAGGAAAGCTTTGTCTGAATGCTGTTATTGAGGAAAATACAATGTTGAACTTCCTAACCATATTTTATATATAATAACTTGAATTGTTTCTCCAACAAAAAATAGAACACTCAAAAATGGATGCCAGGCAAATCCTCAAGATTTGCAAATCAAGGTGTAAAAATTAAACTGCCTTGACTTTTGCATTTTGTCAAGAATTAAGTGTTTCAACACAAATTATTTTGAATTTTTAATCATCAAGTGTTTGATTGTCGTCTCAGATAAATATTGTGAATCTTTGAAATAACTTATATATTTCAAGTGTGTCATTCTATTGGATCTCTTTTCCTAAAGTTTCTTTCAGAGACCAAACTCCAAAGACATTGCTGCACTTCCGTATCAATTAAAAGATCTGCTTTTGTTGGAAATTTAGAAATTAAAGTGATATGCCATGACGTAGATGCATGGTCAGGTGTGCATACAATTTATGATTAAGTATATCACCGTATTCTTAACTAATTCATGTCCAATTTCCGAGAGAGCTTCCTTTTTGGGAGATATTGGCATACTTGTCCTGGTTATTTGAGCTGGCAATTCTTACATATGTGCATAGGCTGCATGGCAGATAGCAGTTCTATTTAGTTGGCTGATTTTTGCTGGATATAAAAAGATGGTATATTTATGATTCATGATAATTGGTAATTCTTTTCCTTTTCAAATTAACGTCTACTTTATAATCTGTGATTATATAAATTGCTGTTTGATTATTTTATCGAGGCATTAATGTGATGGAAGAAAAGCATATGACTTGTCAAGTTTGTGAATTTTTCATTTGAATTTTTCAAGAGATTGAAAAAGGAGATTCGGTGGAACTCCCAAAGGCTTCCTGCGTCGTCATTTTACTTCATAAATGAAATAAAGCGGACCAGTTTTAAATAACGTTTTGGTCTTCTCTGAACATTGTTTTAGTAATAGGCCACAATATTAAACTGGGCCAGTTATATGTTGTGCTTCCTAATTTTCAGGTTTGACAAGGAGCTCAACAAACAGGTTGCTATCAAAGTGATTGATTTGGATGAATCGTAAGTATAATACTTTCTCCTTATCTTTGGCTCAATTTACACATTGCATGATGCTAGGAAGATAATGCAGCGAAAATAAAGTGGTCATCTGATGTTTAATTTGTATTTAACGTGTAATCAGAAACTAGATAAAGAAGGTGACTTGTAATCAGAAGCTATGTTTTGTGAGTAATATTCAGTGCACCATTCAGCTATCTCTCTCGTTCTCTCTCTGTCTCTCTCTCTGTCTCTTCTCTTCTCTTCTCTTCTCACCTCTTTCTACCACTACCCATCATCATCATTTATGGAAATCATTTAAATTGGGTATAATGCTGCGGAGAAACTTATCTATTTCTATGGAAAGCAACTAAATTGGGAATGATGCTATGGAAGAATTTATCTATTTCTGATTAAAAGAAGAAGAAGAAGAAGAATTTATCTATTTCATTTGATTGCCACATTGCACCTAGAACTTTTATGCATTACTTGCTTTGTGAGCTGCTTCATCGCCTGCTTTTTCTTCGTCTTTTCTGCTGCAGGGAGGATGAGATTGATGACATTCAGACGGTATGATCTTATAAATTATTTGTACATCCATCTGCTGTAGGCTGATGATTGTTAAAATCTAATTTGCTTTTGTCAGGAAATTGCTGTTCTATCACAATGTCGTTGTCCATATATCACTGAGTATTATGGCTCCTATCTCCATCAAACTAAACTTTTTATAATAATGGAGTACATGGCTGGAGGCTCTGTAGCAGACCTAGTAGGTTACTTCTGTTGACTTGCTAGTTACTACTGTATGTTGAACACATGGAAAATGATGTTAATGTTTCTCAAAATTCTGGATCTACTATCTTGATAAAGTTGTTATGCTATCTTTTGAACCGTTTCCTAATTCTTCTCTGGCGAGTGACAATGTAATTGGTGTGTTTATGCATTCAAAATATGCATAGATACGGATTATGATGTAGCATATTTCAATGCAAACAAATGAAGCATTGATGTTAGTTTTAGGTATGGTTCCTTTCCCAATGCCATGGCTATTCGCTTTGGTCCATGACCTTCTTCAGATTCATTGGCTGCATGATCTGTAGATGGATTTTGTTAGATTTATTTTCTCTGTCGTTGATATTGACCTTATATGTTTCAATCTTTGTATCATTATCATAAATAAAGTCTTATTTATGTATTTTCTACTCTATTTATCATTTTGTACATTTGCTAATGGTAATCTCTGATTTAGTAGTATGACAGATAGTCTTTGTTGTAGTTTTTGTTGGATCTAATGGTAATTTTGCTTCTGTAGCTTCAATCAGGCCAACCCCTTGATGAAGTGTCAATTGCTTGCATTTTACGTGACTTGTTGCATGCTGTTGATTATTTGCACGCTGAAGGAAAAATTCACAGGGACATCAAAGGTAGCATCCCCTATTCCATTCCCCTATGTTGTGCTTTAAAAGTGCTCCTCTTTCGACTTGCTATATGTAGTCTTGGACCTTTTTGTTCTTTAATTTTGTAGTTGATAATATCTGCTTATCAATTCTGCAGCAGCAAACATTTTATTGTCTGAGAATGGTGATGTGAAGGTATGTCTTATTCCCAACGAGGATATAGTTATCTGTTCTTCTGACAAAGGTTTCAAAAAAATCATATAAAATAACTTGAGAGTGGACTTGCATGTATTTAGATATGATTTTCTAAGTCAATCTGTGACTGTCGCAGGTTGCAGATTTTGGCGTTTCTGCTCAGCTAACTAGGACCATATCAAGGAGAAAGGTGAACACATTTCATTAAGGGTAGACCCTTGATCAATTGGATATGGATTGGCTGTTAACCCTATGTTTCATTTTTCTTTAAGTTTTTATTCAAACTGACAATAATTCTTTTATAACTTGCTACTCCTATCAACTTCTTCTCTAGAACAAAATTCTCTTTCTTCTTTTAATTAGACTGTTTCTGTAGACTTCAAAAGTGAAATAAATGAAAAAGAGCTGCATGATCTAATTTGATTTGGACAGTGAATTTCAGTTTGCTTTTGTTGTTTTTGTCCTTTTTTAGATCCCTACTATAGTACACCTCCTTTACTATTATTATTTCATTCAATGATTTTTTAAATATAATTTAATTAATTCTCTTTGAGTTGTAAAATACAAGTTAGTATTTTTCATCTCGTGCTGGATATGCTAATTATTTTGACAACAGACATTTGTAGGAACACCATTCTGGATGGCACCAGAGGTTATTCAGACTGCAGAAGGATATAATGAGAAGGTTATTTCATAACTATTCAAGTCATTTGTTAACTTCTCTGTTTGAGTCAGTTCTTTCTTTTGTATTCTTGTTAGACCTTAGAGATCATTAATATATATATATATATATATATATATATTCTGTTTGTGCAGGCAGATATCTGGTCTCTGGGGATCACAACAATTGAGATGGCAAAAGGGGAGCCTCCACTCAGTGACCTTCATCCCATGAGAGTGCTTTTCATCATCCCCCGTGAGAACCCACCACAGGTTGTGTTATTTAATGTCAAACTGGTTCATATGAAGTTCGATGTACAGAAATATTTTTCTAGTTTGAAAGAGTTGACAATTACCATTCTTTTGTGCAGCTAGATGAGCATTTTTCTCGTCCCATTAAAGAATTTGTTTCATTGTGTTTAAAAAAGCTTCCAGCTGAGGCAAGGGTCTATGCCATTCCCACTCTTACTGCTGATTCAATTTCTTTTTTCTTTTTCCCCCTATTGAGCACTTAGTATGATATTTTCATTGCGTACTTAGCATAATTGATTTTTTAATTGAGCACACAATATGATCTTTTAACAGTTAATTGCTTATAGAGCCCAGTGACATGCAATCCATGTAATTGACATCACTTAGTGGGACAAGGCTTGCGTTGATGTTGCTGAACACATAGTAGATTAAATTAAGTGAAGCTCTCAGACAGTGATACTGATAAAAGATTAGTTGTAGACTCCAAAACGAGCGAGAAAAGCTAATAAAGTACTTATATGAAATTATTATGCTCACTTTTGTTTGATATTAAAAATATTCTTTGCCTTTAACTTTACCAATTAGTTTTTGAGTTGAAGTGGTCCTTATTACAATATCAAGGCCTTTACAACTAAGTTGCCTTGCTCCCATCCCATGATAAAATTTAAGTTTTAGTTCAAGTTATGTTGAGTTTATGATTTGTCAGAACTTCAATTCCAGCGGGTTATCATTTGAGGTGTTGGAGATTATGATAAAACCATTCATAAGCTTTCACTTAATGGCTTGCATTTTTTATTAAAATTACTTTTGCCAACTTATTGACACCGCAGCCAGAAATTTCTTTTAATATGATTGTATTTACTATGCTCTTTAAGGATTTTTTTTTTTGGGGGAAAAGATGTGCTAAAAGAAACAAATAGAAAGATCTGAGCATGAATATTCAAAGTTTGCATCTCAAATATAACTGTTTTTACTCCCGCGGTTAAACTGGAAGTGAAACAGGCTAAGCAAGTGTTTCTCTTTCTCTTTCGTAAGTTTTCTTCTTTTGAATTTCATTTCAGAGGCCAAGTGCCAAGGAACTTCTCAAACATCGTTTTATTCGAACTGCTAGAAAGAGTCCAAAGCTTTTGGAAAGAATAAGGTGCGAATCACTGCTGAAATCTTGCTATATTTTGTTTCATCTTATTCTGTCTAGGTTGCTTTGTGATTATTTTTTTCTATTATCTTACTATTTCTTCTTACACTATGGTATCTTGAATTAAATGTAGATTATCTACTGAAACGTTGCATTACCGTTTTCTGCAGCAAGAAAATTTAACATTGATACTCCCTAGGCTGTAGGCTTTTTTTTTTTTTTTTTTGGGGACCAAATCCCTAGCTTGTAGTTGACATCCTGCCTTTTGGCTCGATAGGGAGCGTCCCAAGTATCAAATAACAGAAGAGGGGACACCTAGAAATGGTCCAAGAGGTGTAGGGGAGCCATCTGATACGATGAAAGTGGCAAGAGATTTAAGAGAAGAAGCCACTCAATCCATTTCCAGGTAGGTTCTTAATGTTCCTCGTTGTTTTCATATCATAAACTGATTTTTCTAATGGAAAATTTCTGATTGACAGTGGTCAGGGTAAAACTGTGAAGAATTCTGGATGGGACTTCAGCATCAGAGGATCAGAGGGCACTGGAACTTTTCGCAGTGTTGCACGACCACCTCAATATAGAGATAAGAAAACAGATATTTCCCAATATCAACTTGACCAAAATAAGGCAACAGAGAGAGAATATCTTGGGGCATCTTCCTATAGAAGTGCTCTTAATGAATCACCAGAACCTTCCCTTGAAGATGTAACTGACTTTTCTACTAAGTATATTTGTTTATATTTGTTTGTCTTTGACAAATAAGTTGGCTTAATCAGCTCTTTGTTGTTAAAGTAAGCATCAATATTGGGAATATTGGGGGTCTTTTCGTGGTGTCTTATAGGCTGAATTTAATGATCTATGCTAAACTCCGAAATTTGAATGGCTGAACTTCTAAATAGTTTGAATTATAGCATGTGAAATTTCTTATGTTCATTCGATATTACCACCAATTTAGAAGACATTTAACAAATAAAATAGCTGAAGTAAAATTTGACCTGGTCCAATGTATGAAAAAATAGTGTCAATTATGAAGTAAGATGGAAATCCATTTAGCCGAATAAATTTGGTCAATTTCCAGGATGAATTGTCTGGGACTGGATCAGGAACTGTTGTTATTCGGTCTCCGAAAGGATCACAATCATCACTCCTTCGTGACCAAAGCTCCCTGGTATTCTCCAGGCAGAATTGCTATAATAAGGAATTAGTTAGTTCTTATTGTTGTTCCATGCACTTGCCTAATGGAGGCTTTTTATAATATGCAGTCTAGCAGTAGGCATGCTTCTTTTGAAGATAATTCTTCCAGTGGAACTATTGTTGTCCGTGGTCAGCATGATGATTATGACTCTTCACAGACAGTGAGGTCCAGGCCGGGACTTAATGAGAGAACTGCAAATGCCTCACTTGAAGATAGTGTCTCAAATCTCGCAGAGGTTCTTTTTTGTACAAGATGTTAATTACAGATGTGTTTGTTACTTTAGCATGAAAGCATGATGCTGGAAAATAAAGAACATCTTTCACCCCTTCCTTTTTCTCTGTGAGGGATTGAATATTGATTGATTGGTATTTGGAATTTATTTAGCAAAAAGCCAAATTAGATTTTATCATTCTACTGTGTTACATATTTGCCAACTTACTCGTACATTTGACAGGTTCAATTTTGGTACTTTTCTCTAGTTACATATTTGTTGATACTTTAATTTTACATCCCGAAAATTTGCACTCTCTTGATTACCTATGAGCAATTTTATTGCTTGGACAGAGAAAATTGTCTTTGACAGCACCTTTTTGTTTTCCTAGGCAAAGGCTGCTATCCTAAGGCCAAGAAAAGGAAATACTCGAGAGAGAGTTGCACAGGGAAAGACTGGCAATGATTTGCAGGAAAGCAGAAGAAACCAAGTGACAAGCAGCTCTGATTTCTCAAGGTACATTCATCATCATAACGCTGGAGGTTTTCTATGATGAAGGGGTCATTTATATTCTCAATTTTGTTTTCAGATCATCTCGTGTAAACAATGGTCCACAACAGGGAATTTCAAGACTGCGCCATACTGATGATGATCAAGACAACGTCAGAATATTGTCATCCTCTGTGGCATTATCTGTTTTACTTATTCCTTCTTTAAAAGAGGTGACTATTTTTAAGCAGTCCGGTAGATCCTGTATTATGTTATAACTCTTGTCCTATATCAGGTTATGATATATAGCAGATCCATCAAGTATGGGCACGTTCAAAACAAAGACATATCCACGTCAAATGTGAAACTTTCTTAAGTATTAGATTTCGCCAAATAGTTTTGGCTGTACTACTGTTCCTGCCCTGTGTGCATGTTCATGTCCAAGCTTCTCAGAATTTAGTAAATAATGCAAGTTCCTAAATTGTTTCATATACCATAGTTCTAGCCTGAACTTGGATTATTTTCCAATCAGTATTGCATATTTCTAATAATAAGGCCAAGGTATGATAGACTGTTCAGAGAATAAATGCGAAGATTTCATAATGATGTCACACACATGCACATATAGTTGCTCCTTCAAATAAAAGATAAAATTGGCTACGAAAGTGCTTTTTTTAAGAAAAGATTTTTCTATCTGGTTCTCCTGTAGAAGCATGACATATGGATAATTTTTACAATGCTGCACATGATTAACTATTTTAAAACAGTTTCTTCTCCTGTTGTGTTTCTATTAGAAAACCTCATAATATACTCACGAGGAACTTAGCAGAGTCTTGGCCCTAGAACAATGCAGCAAGTTCCCTGCAAAAACCTGCTAACTTGGCTAGAGTCTTGGGAAGCATGTCTTTTCAGTCCTATTATGGAATTATAATGGGCCTGCTGGCCCAAGTGCTGTTACAAGCTGAAGGACTTATTGCAGAAAAGGGAAAGCATGGCAGAAAGGGGATTGAAAAGGAGGCATGACAACCTCTGCCACTAGTGGGGTTGTCGAAGAGTAGTTGATGAGAGAAAAAACTATGGCATGGGATTGAATGATTGATGAAGGGTTCAGGTAGTGGGCCCTTTTTTTTTTTTTTTGGAGGGAGGGGGGTTATGAAAGAATGTTGAAGGATTTCACCTGGGAGGGACACTAGCCCCTTGAAAGTGTCACTCTTTTACCTTTTAAATGTTGGGCTTTAAGTTGAGTAGCTGCTCTTTTCTAAACGTAAAAAGGTTGATAGTCTTGTGGGATCTTTTTTCTGGTTTCTATATATATATATATATAGAGAGAGAGAGAGAGAGAGAGAGCAGTGGAATCAAATCTCTGCCTTTGTGCTCTGTTTTAGCAGTGACCTTTGTTCTTCTATCCAAGTACCCTCGATTTTTAGTGCTTTTAGGGTTCTCCGGCCTTCAAGTTTTTATGTCCTCTATTTGCTTGTAGTTTGAATGGATTTTAATCAGTTAGAATATTTGATACATTTTTTTGGACGTTGATTATGCAGGCCTTTGCCAATGATCCAGAAGGGTCTACTGTACAAGAAATAATCAATTCACTCATACACATGGAGCACATAAAGTCTGGATCATGTGATGCTCTGGTCAAAACGTTGCTTCAGAGATTGGCCAGGTTTGCGTTCTATTCCAAGCAAAATTTATTTTGCATGCTAATAGAGAAACATAAATGTTTTTTTTATTTTTCATGTAAATTATACGAGCTAACCTGGTCTCCCCATGATAAAATGTTGATCAGTTCGAAGGAATCTTCATTGAAGGATCTGCAGGGGCTCGCAGCTCAATTATTCACCAAGGCCAAGTCAGCTCCTGAAGAATCCCAAAATGCAACTGCAGAAGTTGATGCCAGGAGGAAACAACAGAACAAAGAACTTCATTCAAATAGCAATCTGGGTCCTCTTGCAAGATTTCTTCTCTCAAGGTTACTGGAAATTATTTTTCGTCCTTTAATCTTTAAATAGTAAATTCCTTAGATCTTTTACAAGGAGAATGTTGATAGGAATACTTGAGCCAACATAGTGAGCTTTAGCTTAGCTCAAGTCTAACATTTGGGCCAATCTATGCATTTTAATCCATCTTGGGCTCAGCCCAGTCCAACCAAATCCATGAAAATTTTCACTTTTTTGAAATTTTGTGTGATATTCATTTTTCTGGTAACAAATCAAACATGATAAAGACAAGGTTGTTTGGATAATATTACCGTTAGGTATATCAATATTAGCAAAGGAGGGCATACTTCTCTCAGACTCATCTGGCACTAACCATGCTTGTGAATGTGTCTGGTTCTTTTGTTTCACAGATGGCAAGGTCAAGCCTAAAGGAATCTAAATCCAGTCTCTGAAGTGGGGGTTAGAAGCCACCTTTTTGTGGTGCTTTTCAGTTTATGCATTTAACCTTATTATTAACTGTAAATAGGTCGTTGTAAGATCTTGTTTGTCAATTTTCTAATTATGATTATCATTCTTTTTCCACATTCTTTTTCATACAGAGAAGCATTGCTGTTCAATTACATTAGGGTTTTGTATGGTTTCAAAAGATTGTTGCGTACTATACATTTTACTGGTGTCTGTCTTGTGGCAATGCTGAAGAATGAGCCAAGACTAGATTATTTGTGTTTTGGCTCAGTTTTATGTTCTCTTTGTTATGTAGAGTCTGTGAAACGACATTGTCTTCTGTGATACCTTTGAATAGAAAGCATGCACCGATCATAATTCATTTTCCCTGCGCATTGGAAAGTGCATCAATATGCTAATATTTTATCAATAATTGGTTTGATCTACCACTAATTTATAAGTCATGAAATTTCTCATTATCTCAGTAATTATCAATTCAGCCATCTTTTTCACAATCGTCAAATCAGCCATCTGGCTTGTATATACTTGATACGCAGGGAGAATAAAAAGTAATTGATGAAAAATGAAATATAAAATGGTATTTGTATTTGTATTTCTAAATAAAGTAACAAGAAAAAGAGATGAATAATAAATATAAAAAATAAGCATTACATATATCCCGATTTAATACAATAAATTTTCAAAAATTATACTCGTTAGACTAAAATTCAATGAACAAAAGAGTTATGCATTGTGCTTATTATGTGCCCATCAGTGAACCCCTAGACCATTTCATTTATCAAAATGATTTTCGATTGGAAAGTATAAACTTTGGCGTAAACGTGGGAAATACATGTAAATTAAAAAAGAAAAAAGCTATATTGCCATATACTTTATTTGTCATATACGTTTAAATTTCAAGTCATGAGGACGTCAAAGTCCTTAAAAAATCACATCACTATATGCAAGTCATAAGTGCAATGGTTATAGCAGTAAAATAATATTAAAACATCCAGGATAGCCCTGCCCTGCACCAGTAAGAACTTTTTAGAGGCTCATAAATTTCTACATGATGAGCATTATTTTCTGTTAGGCCCCTGAAAAAAAAAACAGAAAATCTTCTGTACTATAGCCCCTTGAGTTTTTTTAGCATGTTGCCCGCCCCTAGTGCTACAGCTACCACCATACTCTCCGTCGAGAAGGTTGCTTTGTTGCAGGGGTCAATTTTCGAAATGCTGCATGCAGAATGATGCCTGCAAATTGGATCTTGAGCTCAGAAGGAGCCGGATAAAGAAAACCAGTTCAGGAAGAGAAGAGGCAAATATAGCAAGACACTCACCAGCGTAACTGACACTTAATGCACAAAAGAGAGCCAACTGAACATTGAAGAAGATGAGAACAATAGCGGTTGCTGCAAAATTAGAGATTCAGAGAACCAGTTAACCATGCAAAGATAATGAAACAAGTAATATGCCACAAAAACTATGAAGTTCACAAAATTCAGTATGTTGCAAAAGATAAGGCTGGATAATAAGTTTGTTTTTCTGCATGTTTGGTTTCTTTCTTTCTTTCTTTCTTTTTCGGGAGGGGGGTGGGGTTGATGAATTAGGTGAGGATCACATATGATAAACTATCAAGAGATGGCCTTTCACAGAGGCAAAGCATTCTTAAATAAGGAACCACCAGAGAGAGAGAGAGATATTAACAATTATTTTGGACTTTTAGCAGTAATTGCATATACTGGAGGAACTATTGATGCTAGAAGCCTGTAGTCCACAAAAACCAAATGTTGGCAGAAAACTAATTTCCTCATCAAGTGATGAAAAGTAATTCATAAACATCAGACACACTCCCATAGAAATGAGTACTCACCACATTGGACAAGGCGGATTAAACACAGCCGAGTCACAGGATATTTAGCCAATCCCCATCTGTCACTACAAAACTTGAAAAATTCCCACAATGCTAAACATGATATCAATCCAAAAAGAGGAACTGGCATTTTATACCTGCAAACATCAATAGCAAGCACACTCAGCAAACAACAAAGAGGGCAGAAGATCAGAATGACACAGTCCAGCGTTAAATACCACAAATGCAACAATATAATATATAGAAAAACAATTAAAAAAAAATTCTCATCCTTAGAAATAAATATTCATCATTCACCGAAGAAACAGCCTTCTCCTGTGAAACCTATGTAGTTGCAACATAGTCACAAATATTCTCCACTTCTAACTATAATGGACCACAAGCTATATTCGAAGGGAGTATATAGATGGGAAACAAACCATAAACTAACTTCACAAACTCCCCCACAAATGAAAAAGCTAGCAACATGACCGCAGAGTTAGGCCAATTCAGCCTTCATTCCTTAAAGTTAGTGGATACGTAAGTTGGCTTTCGATTTTTTCTTCTTTCAAAAAACCTTATTACATATAAGTGCTTTGGCCATCTCTTAGTCACTGAACAATATGCAATAACGTGCAAGAGGGATGCCATTTTGAGAGACTAACTTGTATTATCACTTATCAACAATAAGCATAAAACAATAATAGGAACAAACTGTTACTAAACAAGCTGATAAGATATTCACTCATGTGAAAGTCCAAATATAAAGAATATAACTGAAATTCCATCCTTTGACATAAAAACCCGAGCACGCAAATAGATTAGATACTTCAAAAGGTAAGAACCAGAAGGCAAAGAAAACCGTACAAGGTGCAGGCAAAGAAGAGGATAAACAGATACGCATAATTACGAGCATAGCGCTTGACATTCTCCTGGACCCTCAAGCGAGCCTGAGACGGCGACGAAGGGAAAGAGTAGGAATCGCAACAACCAATAAAGGAGTGAGACCAGGATGGCGTCTTGCCGGCGAAATCCTCAGCAGCGAGCTTGGCGAAGGGGTTGAAAGTGAAGAGCGAGAGAAAGGTAAAGATGCGAGAGAATAAGGAGACGAAGAATCCGGCGGTGACCGCCGGAACGGCTTCGGAATTAGCGGCGGAGGAAGATGCGGCTGCGGCAGCAGTAGTACGTTGGTCGAGAATTTCGAGGTAGCCACTGTCACGAAGCCATGACTCGAAGGCAGGCTCGGGAACGCTGAGAGCCAAGGGATTAGCAGCGAACGCCATTATCGTCGTCGTCTTCTTCTTCCCAAATTCCAAAACGGCAACTTCTTTGCGCGCTTTTGTGTTTTGCGCGTTTGTTTGTTAGTTCCCTTGGCTTTCGCAATTTTTATAACTGGAATCTTTCCTGCTCAATTGTTGTTGGACAAGGAAAAAAAAATCCTGTTTAATTAGTTTCTATATTTTAATTTTACTACAAGTCACTCTAGTCATAAATTTATTTAATTACAAGTTACTCTAGTAATAAATTTAATTAACAAGTCGTTATTTTGATGACCTGGGATTCCTTTGTAACTCCAAAAGGCAAATTCTTTTTAATTTTGTCCCTACAAAAATTCATATTTATTTTTTGACGACCATATCTCTTTTGAAATCTCAGCATGAATGAGAATTAATTGAATCAAAATGTTTTCTTATGATTTTATGTAATTTGGGAATTTATGGTTGAAACATTTAAGGAAAATTTTCACACATCTTTACCTGATATTCTTGATTATATATATTTTGCCAACCTTAATTTTATATTCACTTCAATGTAAATCTTTTGAGGAAAGCATTATTAATAGGAAAGATCTTGCGGGTGTAATTGACAAATACGATAAAATACAAAATACACTAATAACTTCATTCTTCGTATACAGATATATAGTCAATTCAGAATATTGAAGGAAACTTTCCTAATGTTTTTATTTAAGTTTTCTAAATGAAAATAATTATATCTAACTTCTTACCAATTAATCATCTTGTACTTTAATGAAAATGTACAGAACATAATTGACTTACCCCAAAGACTTTCACTCAGATGGATTAGCTCTCCCACTCAACGCATCCCCACCTAATCCCTTTCCCCTCTGGTACAAGGCACAAATTTTCTTTGCACTAAGTTTTCTTCTTTTGAAATTATTTTTTTCAAAAAATTGCGTTCCACAGATAATTTATTCTCTATTTTGATTTTAAAATAAGACATACTGATTAAAAAATAGAATTCAAAATAATCTAAATAAATTTAAATGACCCAAATTTAAACATCTAAGCCTATTGAAATATTCTCAAATAAAGAAACATAAATCCTCCTGTAAGTGCAGCCAATTCCCCTGATCACGTGACCAAAAATTAGTTCCCGTGTCAGGTTGAGATACATCCATCACTTGAAGTGTGTACTTTACATGAACAAACATATAACTTTTTATAATTAATTTTATTTTAAAAAGTAGTAATATTGCTTATGAACCTGACCATGGATATATAATTAACCCTAACCAAGTTAAAGCCAACGAAATATTTGTATAATTATTTTTTGGCAAAAAAATATTTGTATTATTTTAGTGACACTTCAACTGGTTTTGCACCATATTGTATTGATTTAAATTTGATAGGTATTCAACCAAATTGAAGGGACCCAAGATTTTCTAAACGACAATAATGCCTTATGAGTCAATGTCATTAGGAGAAAATTGACGAAGACCAGCTATTTCTTGGAGTGTAAAAGTTCAACAATCTAACTAATCAATTTTGAAAATTCAGGAGTCACTTGCAAGTAACCCAAAGACCAAGAGCTTTCCTCGGTACCATTTTTACCAAGTCAAATAGATAAAACTAATCTAAATATGCATGTAAACATGCCTGACAAGCTTTTTAACAAAATCTATCTTCTACACGCTTACATGTTTGTTTATAATTAACTTTTATTCTACTAATTTTTTGTGTTAAACAACAAAAACTAAGCTTACTTGAGAATATCTCCATAATCACCTACTCTTATCATCTGAAATAAACTACTATATATAGTATTACAGTTCCAAGGTCTACCTATAGCCGAAATGACATTTTACCACAAATTCTTTTACTTTCCTGGTTATTCATTAACTCATTCCATGTGCGAAGCAATGATTCCACATAATCTTTTCTCACCAGAAGCAAAGATACATGATCATCGCTTAAGTTTCCTTCTAGCCAAAGCTGGGGTTTTGTTTGGGATATAGACCTTGTAGCTCACCTGAGATTTCACAGACTAATTGTAAGATAGCAGTGTATTTTTAAGGCCTCTAACTGACCATCATGATAAGAAATATTACAAATCTAAGACATTGCCGTACACTAACCTGAACCATTTCACCACCGCGCATCACATTCATTGTTTTCTGCTCAAATTGGGATCCCTGACTGGCTTCACCCTGCAAATTATTTGAGCTATTTTCTACTAGTGAGCTTTCTGAGGAAGGGTTACCAATAACAGAAACACATGGCTTGTCAACATCTCTTCTACTACTAGCGCCCTGAATTGTATCATGAGTCTTAGCTGCATTCTGGTCTACATTACCCGCGGTTGGTGGGCACTCAGAATGATGAAGTTTGTCCAAGGTTGATGTTTGCTTCAATTCAAATTGAAAGTGATCCTTAACTTCATCTTGCTCTTTATGAGGTTTTTCTGTCGCAGAACACAATTCTCGAATGTTTTTTATATCACCATTGCTACTATGAACAGGATCAGAAGCATGCCTATCTATAGCATTCTCTGTCACCACCAACTTTTTATGTCCTGAATTGTTAGATGCATAACTAGCAGATGGTAGGGCTGTTTCATTATGCTTGTCTGCATCCATTATTTTTTCTGAAGAAAACGCAGAATCCTGCTTCAGCGGTACGGCTTCACCTTTAGCACCATTTAGATTTTCTTTTTCACTCGAAGAAGCTACTGACTTTCTCCTCACTGTAGCCAAATTAATATCCTCTGCAATGGTTATCTCGTCAAAATTCTCCCCCTTACCTGCATTATTGACAATAGACTTGCCTTGAACCACTTCATGGCTCTTAATAGGAGGTTGAATCACATCATTGTCTCTTCTAATCTTCTGACCGGAAGCTTTGGCACTTGACTGGTTCTCACCTCGGAACTTTCTCAAGTTTTCCAATGCCCTTTTTCTTAGAATTGCCTCCAAGTCTTCGTCATCCAAACTAGCCCCAGAAGTCTCACTTGTTTTCTTCTCCACAGATTCACTGGTCCCAGCACCATAAATATCAGGCTCACTTCTGTCAAATTGGCTGTTGTTATTATGGTTCTGATCTCTTTCAGGTTCTGTTAAATTAGAAACAGCAATCCTATCAACTTCTGTATCCTCAATTCCCACTTTTTCTTTTGAAGTGGGAAGAGAATGGTGGTCTGATTCTCTCTTACTGCCCCCATCATTACTGTCATTACTTCTAGAGGGGTAATCATAATCATCAACAATCTCCTCTTTAGTCTCATAGTGACATAATTCTTTTGTTTCCTCTGCCTCCTCTGCAACAGTAATAACTGATTTGAGTCGCCTTGAGCTGTTCTTACTGACATATTTCTCCTCGGTCCATTGATCACTGTTTTCACCAGAGAAACTGAAGGATGAGCAACTTCTGGCTCTGTATCTATTACTTCTTTCACTTTCACTTCTGCCTCTATCCGGTCTTTTTTCCTTTCTTTTTCTTTCTACTCTTCCCCTATGCCTTTCAGGTTCATTATCATCACTGCCAGCACTCTCACCATAACAGGTTGAGCAGCTCAATGACCCATTGCTCATAGAACTAACAATTGCTTCTTTCCTAAGCTTTTTCTTCTTATATGGTTTCTGCCTCGCCTCTTGCTCACTCTTTCTCTTTGCCCTCTTTCTCTTCGTATCATGGCGAGAGTCATCACTGCTTTCATGTCTATAGGAATGTCTCTTGGCCATTTTCCTTCGACCTTCCTCATTTTTCCTTTTGGAAGACCGAGCTCTTCGACTTCTGTAGCTATCCTTGGGACTAGAAGACAATGAGGTGTCTGAACTCAATGAATCGCTATAGTCAGAGATGGAAAGAGATGCCTCACGCTGCCGCCACAGTTTCTTGGATGTATGTCTCCTGCTCTTACTTTTACCACTTGTCCGTACCTGAACCAGCAAATTCAACATAAAATTATATGGAATTCCCATTTCCCCACTCCACAGTAAAAAAATCCAATTCGACCATCCGATATTGCAGGGACATGGGTACAAGTATTGAACAGGTAACTAATGTGGCCATATATAGTTATAGATGGAGAGTAATGAGTGCGAAATCAATCAAAATATTAACCTAAGTTAGTATTAACCTAAGTTACTTAATCTGATACCAAAGTTCACATAACTTCGTTAAAACTGCATCAGAGTAACATGTGATGTCGAAATTGTGCAAGCAAATATGTAAGATTTCTCCATCTCTTTTCTAATTATTTGTTGAGTTAGTAAGATTTATTGAGAGTCAAAACTTTGGAAGCAAACCAACAAACCATGCACCAGGTAAGTCATGCGCCTAGAAGTCTCCGTGCTTCATAGCAACCAAAATTTACGGAGTGCAAACCAAATGCACTAAGAATGAGCACGAAAACCAAACAACCAAATCAAAAATCGTCATCTCATATAAGAAGAAAAACTTGAAACACTTAAACCCGGCAAAGAACTTCCAGCATCCAGAAAGGAAAAAGTGTCTTCCTCAGATAAGTATATCATTTCCACGCTCACTAATTCATTTCAGTTCCCAAAGCACAAGGTGAAATAGAAAGTGGATCTCTTTTCGGAACAGTCATAAATCTGAAGCGAAAAAACCCAATACCCAAAACGAATGCAATAGTGTCATGGAGAAAAAAATTGAGTGGATGTTGATATATTGGTCATACCTTCAAGGATTTCTTAGAACGTTTCTTCTTGCGCGAAGCGGACGATTTCCCCATTCGAGCACTCTGCAAAATCGAATATTCAAGAACAAATCAGAGGAAAAATATAAAGAAAAAGGGCAAGAAATCCAAGCTGTTAATAAATAAAGAAAATTTTTGGTAAAGGCATCGTCCACGTACGACAAGATAAAGTGGTTCTTTCTACCCCATAAATATTACCAGAGAATCCGAACTCGGGAAGTTTGAGAGAAGGGCATGGATTTTTAAAATTAATACTAATACTGATCGTTGTTTTAAATTCTCTTAAAAAGTTTACATATTTTTACTTTATTGGCTCATTGGTTCATCACAACCCCAGGCCAGGATCTATTATGTATCTATCTGGGTTCGTCGGTTTTAGGATGTAGTACCTGTCGGGTTCCTCGCTTGCCCGTCCTAGGTTTTACTCCTAGGATGTCATTCGCTTTCCTTCTTGGTACATTTGCTTAATGTTAATAAATTATTAATAATAATATTAATTACTAGTATTAATATATCATTATCGTTTTACCAAAAAAGAAAAAAGTTCATGCATTTTTAACATTTGATATTTAAATAATTGGATATAATTCTTTTTTAAAACAGTTAAAAAAAAGAAAGAGCATGCATTTTTTTATTAATTTTTTTAAAATATTCACAGTATAGTTTTGAAATAGGGAAAAAGACAGAAAAATTCACTCTTAATTTCAGAAGCCCAAAAAGGTCCGCTGAATTCAACAAATCCCAGTTTGGTACCATGAGACCAAATTGGGATTATTATTTGAAAGGAAAAGACCAAATTGCCCTTCATTTTAAATATTACTTTTAAAATATCACAGCCCCTACTGGCCGGCCGGCCACCGGACCTCCGGCGACGGCGGTCACCGGAGCTCCGGCGACCAGCCGACAATTGGTCACCGGAGCTCCGTCGGTCGGAATTTTTTTTTGTTGAAATTTTCACAACTTCAATATAACGGTTAACAACTTTTGTAATGCGATTAACAACTTCAATATATCAATTAACAACAGCTTTTCTGGAAAATTCAACAAAGTCCGGCGACCGGAAACAATTTTTTTGAAAATTTTTACAACTTTAATATAACCGTTAACAACTTTTGTAACGCCATTAACAACTTCAATATAGCAATTAACAACAGGTTTTTTGAGAAATTCAATAAACTCCGGCGACCGGAAACAATTTTTTTGAAAATTTTTACAACTTCAATATAACGGTTAACAACTTTATAATGCTATTAACAACTTCAATATAGCAATTAACAACAGCTTTTCTGAAAAATTCAACAAACTCCGGCGACCGGAAATAATGTTTTTGAAAATTTTTACAACTTCAATATAGCGGTTAACAACTTCTGTAACCCTATTAACAACTTCAGTATAGCGGTTAACAACAGGTTTTTGAGTTTGTTAAAGACATTACTGAAGTTATAAAAATGCCAATTTTTGAATTTAAAAACTTGTTGTTAACTGCTATATCAAAGTTGTTAATCGTTATATTGGAGTTGTAAAAATTTTCAAAAAAACGTAATTGTTAACATTATACTGAAGTTAAAAATTTTTACAACTTCAATATAACGGTTAACAACTTTTATAATGCTATTAACAACTTCAATATAGCAATTAACAACAAGTTTTCTGGGAAATTCAACAAACTCCGACGACCGGAAATAATTTTTTTGAAAATTTTTACAACTTCAATATAGCGGTTAACAACTTCAGTATAGCGGTTAACAACAGGTTTTTGAGTTTGTTAAAGACATTACTGAAATTATAAAAATGCCACTTTTTGAATTTAAAAACTTGTTGTTAACTGCTATATCAAAGTTGTTAACCGTTATATTGGAGTTGTACAAATTTTCAAAAAAACGTAACTGTTAACGTTATACTAAAGTTGAAAATTTTTACAACTCCAATATAACGGTTAACAACTTTTATAATGCTATTAACAACTTCAATATAGTAATTAACAACAAGTTTTCTGGGAAATTCAACAAACTCCGGCGACCGGAAATAATTTTTTTGAAAATTTTTACAACTTCAATATAGCGGTTAACAACTTTTGTAACCCTATTAACAACTTCAGTATAGCAGTTAACAACAATTTTTTTTTGAAAAATTATATAACTCAAAAACCTGTTGTTAACTGCTATACTGAAGTTGTTAATAGGGTTACAAAAGTTGTTAACCGTTATATTGAAGTTGTAAAAATTTTCAAAAAAATTGTTTCCGGTCGCCGGAGTTTGTTGAATTTTCCAGAAAAGCTGTTGTTAATTGCTATATTAAAGTTGTTAATAGCATTATAAAAGTTGTTAACCGTTATATTGAAGTTGTAAAAATTTTCAAAAAAATTGTTTCCGGTCGCCGGAGTTTATTGAATTTCTCAGAAAACCTGTTGTTAATTGCTATATTGAAGTTGTTAATGGCGTTACAAAAGTTGTTAACGGTTATATTGAAATTGTAAAAATTTTCAAAAAAATTGTTTCCGGTCGCCGGACTTTGTTGAATTTTCCAGAAAAGCTGTTGTTAATTGCTATATTGAAGTTGTTAATCGCATTACAAAAGTTGTTAACCGTTATATTGAAGTTGTGAAAATTTCAAAAAAAAAAATTCCGACTGACGGAGCTCCGGTGACCAATTGTCGGCTGGTCGCCGGAGCTCCGGTGACCGCCGTCGCCGGAGGTCCGGTGGCCGGCCGGCCAGTAGGGGCTGTGATATTTTAAAAGTAATATTTAAAATGAAGGGCAATTTGGTCTTTTCCTTTCACATAATAATCCCAATTTGGTCTCATGGTACCAAACTGGGATTTGTTGAATTCAGCGGACCTTTTTGGACTTCTGAAATTAAGAGTGCATTTTTCTGTCTTTTTCCCTTTGAAATACTACTAATATAGTATTATTATCAATTAGTTTCACCTTTTCATGCCTAAAAAATAGTTTTTGCTTTTGAAAGAAATTTTTGTATAATATATTTACCAAACAACGAACATGATTGTTATCCTTATCAAAGATCCTATTATAGAACAATATAAGCTTTAAAAATCACTTTTTCCAAACAAATTTAAATCTGTTTCCCCTTTCTCAATCGCCAAATGGGGAAAATTGTGTGGCATGAATTGTTGTTGTTTTTTTTTTTTGTCAAAAGGCATGAATTGTCATTTAAATCTACCATTATGTTATTTGAACTAATTATGAATGGATAATCATTAATATTAACATTATCTGTGTGTGTGTGTATAAATATTGTAATTGTAGTGCCCAGACACAAGTCACAAAATAGTGAGACTTATTTCAAATTTACCCTCTCCCTAATTTACCTGAATCAGTAAGTGGTATTTGCATCGTAACATTTCATTATGATTAATATTTCTAGTATTTATTTAAACACATACTAGTGGAAAAATCTATTTGGACTCTCGCAACGTTTTTTAGTTTTTTTGAGGAAAAGCCAAGATGATATTAACATAAGAAAACATACAAAGTTAAAAGAGTTACAATAGTAGAAGGATAGAAACAGGAATTAAATACAGAGGAGAAAAAGGAAAAACATTTTTCAGTTTTTATTTTTTATTTTTGAGGAAAAGGCAAAATGATATTAACATAAGAAAACATACAAAGTTAAAGAGTTACAGAAGGATAGAAACAGGAATTAAATACAGAGGAAAAAAAGGAAAAACTAACAGAAGTAATTTGAACACTAGAAAAGAAGGATAATAGAAGAGAAATATCATGTAGTAGATTGCTAAATCGAAGACCAAAATGTTGATATATGTTATGAAGCTTTTTCCCAACACCTACAAGGTGCAGACATAGATCGTCTTCTCCCAGATGTTGACTGTTGCTTGTAATCCAAATCAACGCAATTCTTAAGCTTAGAAGAAGTAAGAGGGTAGCATCTGAATGTCTTTCGTTAACAAAAAAAGAGTGAATAGCTTTTCCCTGAGAAAGGATAATGAGAGAGCATGATGTATGCCCTTTCCTCTTACTTCTTTTCATTAAAACTGATAAACCTTGTATTGGCAAGTTGTGAGCAGTGAGAGGCTTCAAACAGAAAGCTTTAGTTAGTGGCCTATTACCTAATAACTTGAAAGCCATTTGGAGATAGAAAGCCTTACTTTTAATTTCTTCACTAACTTTATCTAGATTTAAGATCACACCTTTATGCGGTGCTAGATTCTTCTTATGCCAAATAGTGTGCAGAACAATGATGATTTTCTTGACTTTTTCTAAGTGACCATCTCGATAAAGGCAAGGGAGAAGAACTTCAAGCCAGGCTCTGAAGGCTGAGAGATTTGTACATGACAGTCTAATTGAAAGACTTCCAAACCAGATAGCACGAGTAAGTAGGCAAGTAATGAAGATATGCTCCCGTAAATTCTGAATGCTTTTACCCTCTCCAGGACTTCACAGAATGGCTTTCAATTTAGCGGTTTCATTATTCTAGAGGGCAATCTTCAACCTCCAACTCATCCGGCGCTCTTGTTCAATGTATATTATAGCCTAAACCCCTTCTGATGTACACTAGCACTATACTTGTTCGTAATTGATAATACGGTAGTGTTTTCGTGCGAAACAAATAATAGAAGGCAATATATTACTGTTCAGTTTTTCTTATCAGCTGCATTTGTTGTACAGTTCATCTATGATAAAGTATAAGCAGCACAATAAGAAGAGATTTTTTTGGTCTACGAGGTAAGTATATAAAAAAAATTTTGCTCCAACTTGCGTAAAGATATTTATGAAAAGTTAATCCTAACACACCTCAAAAGGCCATATGAGTAAGTTTGGGTAAGTGCGAGTCAACTACTCAAGTCGCATACTTTGCATAAAATATGAAATGAGACTATATTGTTTATGATTTATAAATCATGTAATTTCCTATAGATTTTATTACTAATTGTTTAAAGAGTATTGAAAATTCACTCTAACATATTATTTCATATGATGTGGGTACAATTTATAGAGTCTCATACCATCCGGTTACAATCAAATAATAATTGAAAGATATTGCAATATCACAAGAAATCAGGAATTTATTGCCTAGCTAGAATCATGGGTAATTAATGGAGAGAATAAGGAGAGAAAATCAGGGAGGAGATCAAGGGCTTCTAACACTCCCCCTCAAGCTGGAGAGTAGATGTCAACCATTCCCAGCTTGCTTCGAAGCCCTTCAAACTTGACTCTGGCTAACGGTTTGGTCATGATGTCAGCAATCTGATCAGTTGAACGCACATAGTTCAAGTTAATGATGCCATCCTCGACCTTTTCTTTGATGAAGTGCCGATCAATGTCAAC